GTTATTATCTAGTATGTGCTTAGTGCTTTCACTAGATTTAACAATTTTATTATATTTTATATAGTCTGACCCCTATATAGTCGGATAAAGTTCCTAGATTCTCTTTTTTTTCTTTTATGTTAAGAAGTTGTTTCTAGTGCGACAGGTCACATCTGGGTACACAAAGGAGTATCGGGTGGTGCTTCTTATTAGAAAATGAAGAATAACATGGGAGGTTCTTTTTAGACTAGCCATCTAACTGTAATTTCACAACTTCATAAATAAAGCAAGCGTGACTGTCAAAGGAAAAAAAAAAAAAATGTAGAAAAAAAGACAAAAGATACAAATCTATATCAAATTCTTTCAATCACTTATTATAAATAGCAATATAATCTCATCGAAATTGGCTATTATATAAAACAGAAGTTTCTTTAATTGCGATTACTATTTTTACTAGTTCAACAAACATATCAGCTAACAAGGTAGTTCAAAACTTCACATTTTTTATAGCTCATTTTACTGGGCGGAGAATATCTTGCAATTGTTCCACATCAATCCAAAATTGACGATTACTAATTAACTCTTTTACAGTATTCACCTAATTAAAAATTTGAGGATCTTGTTCTAAAACCTATTAAAAATAGATTATCTTAATTAAGATATGATTATATGTATATTTGAGTGCTATTAAAGGAAAACTCACAAATCTTATCTAATAAGATTTGTGGGTTTTCTCTTGGCAGTACTCATATGTATATTAAAAACCTAAATGCAATAATACTAATTTAATGTTCTCTTTATTGCGTATAATTGATTCACAACAATTCTATACTGTTGACCACTGGGTTTTAGAGCTCAATTTTAAATTTCTACTGATAGTGAAAGTTGATATAATTTCTTGATTAAGGGTAGCACCAGCAATATAAGAATTTCTAAAAAACTTTATGACTATTTGACAGTTAGAAAGAACAACTCGTATATGAGGTAAACAGCAGATACTACTTGAGATTAATTGTATGTGATATACAATGCATCTAACAGGTAAAATATGCAGATATTGTGTTGTAATCAGATATTTTGCCGCTGTCATTGCTATTTCTGCATCAAACACTACTGCAACAAATTTTTCAGGTCCAACATTTTCTATTACTTCTATTATTTTTACAGCATTAAAATTTGCTGTATAAGAGGATATTGAAAAATCACGTAAAGAATAAATATATTGTTTCTTCTTATCTGTCATTATCACAAAGGTATATATGCTACGCTTTAATGGACTGCATCAACTGTCTATACACAATGTTAGATTTTTAGATTTCAATAATTCTTTCTCTATTTTTAGTGTTATGTTTGTTGCTTCTACATCCAAGATTGATATTACCAATGTAGTTCTCTTAGATGAATTATACTCTGGGTTTAATATCTTTGTAAAATCCTCAAAATAAGAGGAGTTAAAAGTGGAAAATGAGATACCAGAACATACAATCTATTTGATCAGTGATTTATTGGCCCTTGTTTCTTTAGTTTTATTAATAGCTTCTTTTGTGTCATAGTATGCATCCATAGTTAACATAGAATAGTCTGATTTTCTTTTTTTTTTTGTAGTAGATGTTCTAGATTGTATTAACACGTTCTCATTTTGAATATCTCAAAGTATCTTAATTTGAATATCTTTTGGCACTTTTCCTTTATATTTCAATGCGATATGAGTCTTCATTTCATGAGCTCTTCCTCAAGCTCATGATGTAGCACAATACCTACATCATTCCTCTTTATGTCTCCCTTTTCCATATATAATAGTATCAAATTCGTTCCAAATATTCTCTTGAGGTCACCTCTCACTATTTAATAATTGTGTTGTCTCTGTTTGTGTAGAATCTGCTTCTGAAGCAAAAATAGAATCATTTGAAATATCATCAAGACTAGTAACATCATTGTTCATAACATTATTATTCATAACATCATTGTTCATAACATCATTGTTTATAACATCATTGTTTATATCATCCATTGTTATATAAAAAAAAAAAAAAATACCTATAAAATGTTTTTTAAAAAAAGAGCGATGTATGCTAATAAAATTGTTAAGGAAGGGAAATATTTTTAATAAAATTCTAAGAAAAAAGTGAAACTTCTACAAAAAACAACGCAATATAGTTCATTTAGATAGAGATGATAAATAAAGTTTTTAAGATATTAGATGACAAGTATATCTCACAAAATTAGTATTTTTTTGATGTTAATTACAGTATTTGATTCAATTTATAGCAAATAAGAGGGTATCAGTTAAATTTAAATATTCACATATTAAATTATTGCCTTTTCAAATTAACAATTTTGTGAATCCCATGAATGCATATTACTATTGTTTAAACAATAGTAAAATATAATTCACAAAGTTTAATTGTCTTATGTACTAATTTGAAAAATGCAATTCACATGCTCCATTCAATGGTACTGGGCCTTTCAATAGTTCATGTATATATTTTGGCTAGATAATGCAAAAAAAATCATCAAACTAAATTAAGGCTTTTTTTTCTTAAATTTGTATACAATACGTAAACCAATAAAAAGGCCTACAAAACCTGATTGTCTTACTAATTTGAAAATCGTGAAATTTGACATAATTTGAAAAAAGCAATTCACAAAATCTGCCTCACTGGTTTAAAAAGAGATTCACAAAATCTGCATTACTAATTTGAAAAAAATGATTTATAGAATCTGCCTCACTAATTGAAGAATAATGATAATTCATAATATATTTTACTTATTAATTAATCTGAAATGAATTATGCATTATCGTCAATGACATATCAAAGTATTTGCATATTTGTTACAAATTTACTGATGGCTTTATACATAGCTTATTTACCTATTGAATTGTAAACTATAGCTATATCTTGTATTGTGTTATCATAATTAGTGATGTAACCCGAACCCAAATCTGAAAGTCTCATTATATGCAGAATCCTCAAACTGCTAAAACTATATAGTTTGAAATTTTAGTGTAATCAAATCCCAAATACAATGCAGGACCACTGGACGTTAATAATCAATTAGTTAGCAAAAATAGCTAGTGAAATTAGCAAATTTAGCAAAATAGCTTATCTGTTATTATAAATTTATATGTACATATAAATTTTAATGTTATCATATTTCTCTTCTGCAAGTTCATCTATCATGCATATATTTTATTAAAAAAATAGTGTTATAAAAATTCAAGGGCATTGATATGTACAATGATATCATTTTACTTATAAAATTATTATAATTGTCAAATAGAGTTAACGTTAATATCTAGATCCGGATCTTAATTATAAGATCCAGATCTAATCATAAGATCTAGATTCTAGTAATAAGATCTGGATCTAATAATAAGATCCAAAACTAATTATAAGATTGCAGATTTACTGGCATAACTACTTTCATAAATTCTTTTTTGTTTAACCTAAAAGTTACCTAATTTTCAGGATATCAGTTTGAGAATAGTGATGTAATTTTCGAAGAATTAGATGATTCATAAGACGAAACTAAAGAATTCAGAAAACTAGCAAATTTTTTTAAATACCTCAGAATTTATGAAATAGCTGTGAATCTGCGATCTTATGATTAGATCTGAATATTATTGTTAGGATCTGGATCTTATGATTAGATTCAGATCTTATAATTAGGATCCAGATCTTATGTTTAGGATCCAGATCCAAGTATTAACTCTATGCTAAAAAGGTTTAGATTATATTGTTAATTATAATACAGCATATGAACAATTGCTAGAACAATAATTTGAGACTTGGGACATGGGATGAGATTTGGGATTTGGGATGGAATTTGGGATTTGGGATGAGGTTTAGAATTTGGCTATAGTTTGGGATTTGGGATTTGGAATTGGGATTTGTCCAGTTTTTCTGCATGGGATTTTAGACATAACTGGACAATCCTATTTGTCCAGGTTTGTCCATGGAAAAATCTCAAATCCTGAGAGTTTGTCCAGCAAGTATACTTACTACCTAGCATAGAATACAAACTACAAACAATATTTATAAGCAAATCGAAATATGAAAACTTACAAAGACCAATTTGAACTTTAATTAAAAACAAACTTGAGTTAGCTAAGTCAACAGCAAACTCAATTTGTAGCTATATAGGTTTCCTGGGCATGAGGTCAATTTGGTAAAACTAGCTTACACATCACTTTACAGAGCTTATTCTACGTCTCAACTAACAAGGTCCTCTAAGAGTAACAACAAGACTAAGAGTTAAAGAAGGTCAACTACGAGGCAAATATCTATACAGCTTTCTGAGTAAAGACTGTAAGTTTAATAAGCCAGTTTCTACAAATAATTTAGTCATAAAAGTATTGCATGAAGCAGCTAAACTAAACATAAAGATTAATGAGATCTTAGAAGACTCTGATGCTCTCAATGTTAAAGAAACAGAAATTATAAGCTTACTAGATACAAAAGAACTCTGCACCTTCTTAAACCTAGACAAGATGAACCTTTTCATATTAGAATAGCTTATAAATAGTACAAAAAGTCACCTGTTAACCTGAGATCAACTAAAGTACATAAGAGGTAGAAAAACAAAAGGCCGTATACCAAGCTGGTTTAAAAAACTCAAAGAGAGGATACTAAAAGAAAACAGCTCTAGAGAAGTATAAGACCTCTACAAAGTAAAGAACTCTAATAGAGAAGCAATAAAAACTCAACTACAAGTCATTTCTAAAGATAGACAGAAAAAAAAATAGATGCTTTTCAAAAGAAGTGGAGACTTCTATATAGGAAAAATAGCAAGAAAAATAGAGAAACTTGTAATAGTTGAGCACTAGAGACAATCAAGCCAACTAGCAGAGGACTACTTATTTAACAAGTGTAGCCATTATAATATAAGAAGCACTGGTAATAATGAGTATCTAGTCAGCATCAGATATGATGAAGGATCTCAGGTAGTCAAAGTAAAGAAAATCAATAAAAAAAAAGTAATACTAAGAGTATCACTATCAGTACTTATCGAGGATAAAGAATCTTACACAAATTATGAGACAAACCAAGAAGTATCAGTAAAAATCATAGCAAATAGCCTCAAAAGTACAATTATACAAAGAATAGTAGAAAACAAAAGGATAGAGAGAGAGCTAGTAGATATGTATGAGAAACTAAAAAAGGAGGAGGTTATCAAGTATTATATAAATAGTGCATTAGCAAGAAATAGCAGAGAGGGGGGATCAGGTAGAATGGGAGCTAGTTGGTTAGTCAGAAGCAAAGAGAAGATAGATAGTAGTATTAGTTTTAGTTGTGATATAGAAAACTAGCCTTCATCAACTCGTGCAGAATTAGGAGCTATATGGACAGCTTTGCTATCAGCACTATGTGAGGCTCAAATACATATATTCACTAATAGCAAAGTAGCAATAGAAGCTATTGAAAAGTATATGAGCAACAACAAGCTAAGAAGTTAGTTTAAAATAAAAAACAGAAGTCTACTGAGACAGATAAAAGACTGCTGCGTAGCAAAAAATCTAAATTTGTCATTATACAAAGTCAAAGATCATAGCAGTAACAAATGGAATAAGCAAGCAGATTACTTAGCTAAAGAAGGTACTAGGAGAACTGATATACTCAAGGTACCAGAGACAACATTAGGTAATATTTGAGCCATCCCAAAATAGAAAGATTAATTAATAGACTACTCGCTTAAGTCATTTATAAATATAACAACCACGATAACATATAAAACAGAATAGGCTGAACTAAGTAAGGTAGCAGATATTATAGCTCTGAATCAAGGAGACAACTCCAGCAAAGAGCCAATTTGGAAAAATACTTAGAAAGTACTAAAGAAACGATAAGAAAAAAAGTGTATTAGTTTAAAGAAAAGCAGAAACCTAATGTTTCGCATAAAATGCATTAACGATATTCTACTAACAAAAGATATCTGCTACTTTAGAAACCCAAAACTATACAAGAGCAGAAGATGTATAGCCTGCTTAAGAAAGGATGAAACCTTGTATTACCTAGCAGAATGCGAAATCTACCAAAAAATATGGAGGAACCTAGAAGAGAAAATTCTATATCTAACAAGTCTCAAGGTGTTAACAAAGTTGGATTTATCACTTGAGGATGATGCATTGAAGAAGGCACTCTATGGTGAAGACCTAGAAGAGAAGATGCATTTCAGGAAGATGCACCTCAGAGATCTCACAAATAAGAAGCAATATACAGATATATACAAAATAGCACAGTCCAAAAGCAAGGCTAACAAAGTATTAATAAGTTTTATTAAACAATTCTGGTCTTGTTTTCATGAATAACTATGGAAGTTCAGGTGTAAAATGATGATTGAATAGGAAAAAAAAACAACATCATAACTAAAAAAAAAAGAAAAAAAAATATAAGAAAAAAAGAAAAAGTAAACAAAAAGAATATACTTCTCTTAAACAAAACAAAGAAATCTAAGAAGGTGAAAGAAACAAGAATTCAAAAAGAAGCTTCTGACAGAGTTGATAGATAGATAAAGTCAGATGGTAAGAAATATGATTAGAAGCCTACTGAATAATAAGTTACCTAGCTCTGACAGTCTTATCTATGAATTCTATAAGCTTACTGAGGAAGTGATCACTCCTTTATTATATAATCTCTTTAATCAAATGCTATACTCAAGTCTTCTATCTAAATCCTGATATAAAAACCTAATCATACTTATTCCAAAGAAATCTTCAGATCTGGAAAATCTAAACAACTAGAGACCAATTTCTTTAGTAAACAGTGATGCTAAAATCTTTATGAAAATCTTAGCAAACAGACTAAATATGATATACCAAGAAATAATTTCTCTATAGCAACAAGGTTTCATTAGGAACAGATCAATATCAGATGCTGCAATAGATATCATAACAACTCTAAGAAGTCAATAAAATAACATTAAGCAACATTGGATGCTTTTTTTGGATCAACAAAAAGCATTCGATCGTATAAGTCACGAGTTTCTAGAACTTGTTCTAGAAAAAATAAA